TGCCTATGCCCTTAGACCAACATGGCTACAACCTACACCTCAAGTTGAAGAACTATTGAGATATCATGCTGTTTATAATATGAAATTCTTAAAACTGATAAGAAATTCTTATAACTTCTTATAATTTGAAATTCTTATGTTCCCTTGATATATATTTTCTTTTTCTCTTGCTACCCAAACAATATTGAATTGTATCAACCTACAGGGCAAATGTCCAAGGTCTTCCTAGCTTTCAGGCATAGTAGAGAAGCTATAATGATAGACTTACTCAACTGTCTATTTGGTAGAAAAGTATACAATGTGTATATAGCTGCATAGCATACATGAAAGCATGATCATATATTTTGATGTGTAACAGGGGTTTTATTGGCATAGGTTTAGGACACATTTAGATAATTATCCTTAAACAAGTGCCAAGAAAATCTAGATTACAACACATCTTTACTCCATATTTGTTTGCTGTATATTTTAAAGGAGAAAAATGTTTTCAAAATCTGTCAGAAAAGATTTTAATTGATACTGGTGTTCACATTCCTTTTCCTTATATACCCAGGGTCCTTAGTATCCTGAGATCAAATGCAGAGTACTCAAAACCAGAAAATTATAACTAATTTATATTGAGAAAAATCTAAAATTTGCTTTAAAATATATTTTGATAAATCCAAAAGATATGGTATTTAATAGGTTATTAGATCAGAATTTAATGACCAATGTTTTATTTAAAAGAAGTTTCTCAGATTTTTTTTCATCCATTTTTAGTCCTCCTCATTTGTGAGAGTCTTAAACCTTTCCCTAGCCAAAGACTCACCTTAAATCACGGCTGGTTGGAAAGAAGGATTATTTCTCCAGCAGGATGGTGAAAGGAAAAATAAGGCACGTGGATGTATTTAAGGGTTTTAAATGTTAGAAAAAGTCCCAAGAGAGAAGGTGCTATTAATAGTCAGCAACATGATCGAAGGTGAAAGGTAAATGCAAATTCCTACACAGCTCTACAATTTATCATATGGATTTCACCACTGCATATGCAATATAAACATATATGCAATCTGATCTGTCATCTTTATTGGTTATCACAAAGTATGAGCAGAATTTTTTACTGTAAAGCTGACATATAGTTCTGATAAAACTGTAATGTGACTTGAATGCCATGCACTGGAGAAGCCTGTCTTTTGAAATTAATGAATCCATTTTAGCAAAGATTAAAATGTAGGATCTATTTGTAGTCTGCATTTCCCTGAGACAGAATTCAGCCTTTTCCCTCCCATTGCAGAAAATAAGTCATAGTAATACATGTAGTGCATGGGATATAAGCAGGATAGATTCCTTTCTGTAAAGCAAATGACAGGCGAATGCAAAATGAATAATGTTTTTTTGAATTACTTTCTCTGTCTTTCATTTCTAAAAGAATAAATGTTTCAGTCTAACACTGTTAAGTAATTGCACTTTTTCTTTTCTCTTGCAGGTTGTCTTAGTCTTCGCTCTTAGTATTGGTGCTCTTGTAATATACTTCATAGATTCGTCAAAGTGAGTATTCTAATAAATTTTCTTTCCTCTCCTTTCCTACAGCAATTATGCTTCTTTAAATTGCTCCATTCATCTACTTCAAGTCAATGCTTTATTTCATCTTCTGAGTGCGAAGGACTTTATAATAATGTATGGTCTTCCAAGCTGGTTTCAGGGATGAAGAAATGATTTATTCTTTTTGTTAACTGTGTGGTTTTGATCACATTTGGAGATGTAGAAAGAGAAATAATTTCTGTGGGTTTAGCTTATGTATCCTGTGGGGGAATTTTAATCTTCCAGTTCCATTGTGATTTTCAGAATTCCTCAAGTTTATAATTTGAATGTATGGAATGTAGGAAATGTGAGTCAAGAGGTCACAGACCATGCAGGAGAATAAATGAGTATGTAGCCAAACTTCCAGGAACACCTCTGAAAACTCATCAAAAGGCTATATGTAAAACAAACCATAATAATTATACCTAGCCCTGTGATCCATTTCCATGTTCTTAGTCTGATGGGCTTGTTTTCTATCATGTGAAGTAAGCTTGCTAGAGATTGAACAGCTCAACATTATTTGGGAATGAACAAGTTGTGGTCAAGTGATGTTTACTTCATGATATTTTTTGATATGAATCAGGGGGTAGCTAGATTTTGTTATCATGATGTGTTGCCTGACACAGCGATGCAAATGCTATGTCACACAATACTGTAACTAGTTATAGTCTCATTTTGGTTCATTAGGTACTCATATAGATGCCTTTCTTACTGTAACATAAGCATGGTGCTGATATATAACTTTTGTCTAGATCACTAGCCTCTCACAAACATAGCCCTGGTAAGATTTTTAATAGTACTGAGTTCACCTCTGGAGAAAGGAAATGTCAGCGGATTAGTGGTATGTTACGCTCTAGGACTGTACAAATAAAACACTTAAAAATATCTTTGGACTTGTCTTCATTGCAACAGTGAACTCAAGGTATTCCAAATGCATGAGCATCCTAGCTTGAGTAAGAGACAATGCAAAACAGTCCTTGAGGGTCTAGGAGGGTCTGTCATTTCACACAGTCATAGCTAATGCTGGACCAGCATCTGGTATTCCTACAAAAGTGTTCTTCGGTAGGTTAACAATTCTTTTTTTTTCAAAATTTTTGTTCATCTAGGTCTACACTTTGCTGGTCTGTTAGTGCTTGGAAAGAAGGATAATACAAAAAGTTGTTTCTGAAAATTTTAATTAAGGATCACATTTAAGATTGCATAACTCCATGTCAAACAAGATAGAAAACCACCAATGATCAAAGTAGAATCAGAAGTCTTCCCAAGATTATGAGATCCACTGTGCTTAAGGAATGACAGATTGTGTAGCCAGGGACACAAAAAGGAGTGATATACTAGAATCTCATGCAGTCACCTTCAATTTCCCATTCCAAATGGTATGCCAGGTATTCATTTACAGCTAGGTTGACTGGGAACTGCTTTGGGGTCTAGAGTGAGGTTTTTCTGAATCTGTAGGTATGTGTTTTAACTATGAACCAAGTCAGCCATAGAAAATATCTTGTTAGGTGTGCCACAACAGTGCATAAGATTGCAACCCCCTTGTCAGGACGTGATACTCTGTCATTCCTCAGCCACGTTTCTTTGCAAAGTAAAATCGGGGGACATAAAAAAACCCTTTACTTCCTTTTCTCACCTGTCCTGGTGATGACAGGTGCAATTTATGGCTGCTTGTATTAGGTTTGTAACCTGACAGTAGCTTCAGTCTGCTGCATTCAAAATTCTTGCTTTTCTCCACACCAAGGTGATGTAGAAAGTGGAATGCACAATATTGCAAACGCAGTTGACCAAACTGATGTCCTAGCATATTTGGAGGAATTGTCATCTTGATTTCAGCTTGCCAAATGCACATTTCTGCACCTGTAAATGTATAATTAAATCTGCATTTGCCAGGAGTTCTGAAATTATGGCACTGTTTCCTGAGGCATAACAGTAGCTCCCCCAGAATAACAGGTCACATTTTTATGAGGGAATAACATCCCTGCTTGCCCCAATAGTTAGCGCCCACTCTCTTCAGTACCTTTTCTGAAATTCTGCATTGATATTTATGAACTTGTCTTTGTGTTCCCAAACCCTGTAGAGACAGGATTCATAAGACTGGGATGGTGAACATTCCTGTATTATTGAGTCCCCTTGTAAGTAACCATGTCATATATTCCTCTTCATAATGATTGAGGTCCATTTAAAACTAGTTAGGGTTTTGCTGTCACTATTCTTAAAGGGAAGCCATCCTTTCTTTGGTCCAAAACCTCCTTTCTTTGGTGAGAAACCTTCAGATTCCAGTCTAAATGTGTTCATGGGCAGTTTAAACCCATTTGTTCTTGCATGAACATTGTTCTTTAGCTAAATAGTACTTTTCCCTCTCTGGAGTTTACCCATCTCCACTACTCAGATCCCCTTTAGGTTTGGCTTTGGTAGGTTAAACAAGCCCCAAAGTCTTTTAATCTCCTCTTAAAGGATATAATCTCACTTTCTTGGTCATACTTCCCTGTACCTGTTTTACTTTGAATTAATTTTTCCTGTATCGAAACTCTGTTCCAGGATGGAATTGTATCCAGACCTTGTCTTTAATAGTTTTCCTACGTCTACCTGAAATACCCTGACTAAGGATACAAGATAGCATTTCATTTTATCATGAACTAATACACCCAGGTTTTTTCCTCTTCTGTAATTTTCAACTGATTATATCAGATGTTCTTCTAGTTTCTAAGTGCATGGTGGAGTACTTTGTGCTATTGGATGCCATCTTATTGTTCTTGAGTTCACTCAGACTTCTTATTCTTCCTCTGTGCTATTTCTTGTGGGTCAAGAAGTTTAGGGATAATGAAAAAACTTCCAAACGCTAAGACAAATAGTAAAGTCTCTTTAGCTGCATAAACACAAGCAGCTGTAATAGTTGACTTGTCAGCACCAAAATGGTAGACTTGTAGCAGTCTGGAATAGTCTGCAGATGGCAGTAGCAGTCTGGTTCTAAACTTGTATGGGTTCCTTCATTTGTTTCTCCAGGCACTGGAGTGTTCTGGCAAGCTCCTTGCATAGTTCTAGGAACATCTGCCTCCCTATGCAGAAGCTTTGGAGCCTCTGTTGTACATGATCCCACTTCTCAGTGCTGTTTGTCCTGCACCATAAGAGCCAGACCATCACAACAAAGGACTGGTCTCTGCACGGCAAATCCCCTTCTCAGTCACATCACCTTCCATTGCTCAGAATGGTGCTTGAAATGCTCTCCACCAGGTTGCAGACCATCTACCCTTTGAAAAAAATTAGAAGTAATGCGTCATACTGGGCTGTATCTATGGCTTGGTGCTGGCAGGAATGGTTAGAACTAAGTAGCATGCAGAATCAGAAAGGCCTCAGCACAATGTGATGTCAGAGCAAAAACACTTTTGCTTAGGACTCAGAAAAGTCTATCAAATTCTCATAAAAGACAGCAACACTGATTCTCAAACCAGATTTACCAGATTAGTGGTGTACTAAAAACTGGACTGCCTCATCTGAAATCCTAGCACCAAGCTTCTGTGACTGCTGTACAACTGGGAAGTAGATCTATGACTATGGGTCATGTGAAGTTCTTCTGTGCAGATGCACAAGCATGTGCCTGTGTGCACATTAGCTAGGACACACGTATGTTTTGCACTGACTTGCCCAGAGAGACTGAATTAAGAGTTGATGATGCATGGCATTTTAAGCTGTTGCATCCACTGTTAAATTACTAGCAGAAGCATCAGTATCACTACAGGTTTTAATCCTGTCATACCTTTTTGTACCAGTTACCTCGAATCTATAGTGCAATTTACCTTGAGCTAGAGATTTTGGTAAAAAACCTCAGGTTCTCTTTTTGGCAGTGTAGTGAGGAAAAGCCCTTTTGATTCTTAATGTTGAGACCAGATTTTTCATGAACTTGTAGCCAAATTTTCTTTATTGCTATCAAAGAAGCAAGTATTGTTTTTCTGAAGACAATAATGAAGTATCCTTGAGTAGACAGAATTTTCCTGGGAGCACAGGTGGCACTTCATTATGTGCATAAAAGGCATACAATTCCCTGTTGAAAGGGTCAGTAAAACAAAAATGTCATGGACAGATGAAAATCTGTTTCTGCTTGTGTTTTAAGTTCTGCTGAATTGAATTCTAATTGCAGGAACAATGTTACCTGTTCCTGGAGCTTCATATCTTTTGTGAAACAATGCTGTACCCTAGCATTTTTGGAGTTGTGTCTACCCAGTGATTTATAGTCAGTTGGCCTCTGGAAGCCTTTGACTGTTATACTTCTTTTTTCCAGCAGAGAAAAACTCTGACTTAATGGGAGATTTCTTGGGAATGCTTAGGCTTTATATGGGCCACCTAGGCCATGTGTAGATGAAATGAGGGGCATGTGTGCACAACACTTTA